AGCGATGGCGGTTTTGAAGTGCTGGTCTATGATCATCTCCTCCTCTGCCTGCTTCAACTCCACAGTTGAATTTTATACACAGAGTTACTTATTTCCTTGTCTCCTCCTACCTCTTCAATACTCACTCAGTCACACACCTCAACCCTGGGCTATTCAGCTAGTAGTATTCTTTGAAAAAGATGCAGGGTTAATTCTGGACTTTATCTGACCTCTAGATCTTTAGTAATTCAGTCTCGCAAAACTCTCTCGCACTGATATCTCAATGCATCTCTCGGAACATGTTTAGCAGCTACCATTATTTTTGTTTGTGGAAGATTGATCAAGGTTTTGACAAATTCAGCCTGACAGTTTTTTTTTTTGTTTTGTTTTAATGACCAAAGAAAAATATTAGATTATGGATATCTTTTTCAGATTTTCAGACACTGTATACTAATGCCAGTGTCTACTCCATCAGCATCTCCGGATATAAATATGGATTATTACAATGACAATCCTGCATTCTCTTCACAATTTTATAGATTCAAAAGTTTTCACAGCTGTTGAAAATCTATTCTTGGCCAGCTTTGTGCCTCAAATTAACATCCCCTTCACCCAGAAGCCCACTGTGGCTTTAAAACCCACACAAACCTGGAGAAATAATTCTAGTATTTCTAGTTCAACACTACAGTCTCAATATTATTTACATAGAAAAGTAATTAAAGTCATTAAACTGAAAGGTTTTGTCAGTTGAAGGATGGGGTGAAGCGAGTGGATGAATAGAGAGGGAAAATCTCTTGTTAGGAAGGGTGATTTGAAGACTGACGTTCCACATAATACGAGCCATTGAGGGCAAGTAGAAATCAAAAAGACCTCCTTGGGTGAGCGGTGACAAGCTGGTCTCAGCAGCCAGGATCTGCTATGGGATGTCACAGTGGGACTTGGCCAGCCAGAGCACAGGGGAGAGAAGGAGATGCCATTTTTAGGAAGAACCAGAGCATTTGAAGAGCTGGCCAGAGGCTCTCAGTCTATAAAGAAGCATTTCCAGAGAAAATCAAATATTCGACAGGCTTGTCCATTCTGTTTCAGTGGCCTGTGGAGGGATAAGGGGTTCAGAATGAGAAAGAAAAGAAAGGTGCTTTGTTGGTGCATCCTATTCCCTGCAGACTACCCTACTTCCTGTCTCTGCGGGCAGCCCATACGAGCACGGATGCTGTGATGTTGACTGTAAGCCATTACCACCTTCCTTTTGGCATTTGAAGTTCCTGCCACTTTGTGGATTCAACTCGCAAGGCATCACACATAAAGAGTAAGTGCAGAGTCTGTTCCAAAGGTAGACTGTCATTCAGGCCTTCTTGGAGTTGAATGGACATGAGTAATTTTCCCTCTGGAGACGCTTCAGGGGAGAATCCATTCTTTCTTTCTCATCATCTGTATTCACAAATTCAAGTATACACCTTTTCATTGTAAACCGAGAAGCCTAAAATGATTTTTCCGGTACAGTATAACCGTGACAAGCAATTTTGTATCACCAGCAACAATACATTTATTTTATTTTAACTTTTATGATTTTATTGTAGCTTTTTTTTTTTATTTATTACCATTTGTGACCCTGGACCACAAAACCAGTCTTAAGTCGCTGGGGTATATTTGTAGCAATAGTCAAAAATACAAAATTATCGATTATTCTTTTATGCCAAAAATCATTAGGATATTAAGTAAAGACCATGTTCCATGAAGATATTTTGTAATATATCAAAACTTCATTTTTGATTAGTAATATGCATGGCTAAGAACTTCATTTGGACAAATTTAAAGGCCATTTTCTCAATATTTAGATTTTTTTGCACCCTCAGATTCCAGATTTTCAAATAGTTGTATCTCGGCCAAATATTGTCCTATCCTAACAAACCATACATCAATGGAACGCTTATTTATTCAGCTTTCAGATGATGTATAAATCTCAATTTTGAAAAATTGACACTTAATATTGTGTTTTGTGGTCCAGGGTCACATTTATCATTTATTTATTTATTTCATTCTAATTTTAGTTTTATTATTTTTTATGTGCTGTTGTCTTTTTTGTTTGTTTGTTGTTAGTTTTATATTTCTATTTAATTTTTATTTCTCTTTGACTTTCACAGTTTAGGTTATTTTAGCACTTACAATTTAGGGTCACATTTTATTTTAAAGTCCAATTCTTGCTATTAACAAACCATTAACTCTGACTTTTGCCTCAATGAACTTCTAATTTGCTGCTTATTAATTAGTTAAGGTAGTTGTTAAATTTAGGTATTGGTTAGTATTAGGGTTGTAGAATATGGTCATGTGCTTTATAAGTACTAATAAACAGCCAATATGTTATTAATGTTCATAAGCGACTCGTTAATAGTGAGAATTGGTCACTACTACACTAAAGTGTTACCAAAATTAGAAATGAAATACTAACTGAAATAAAATCAGTTTAAGTTTGTAATCTAATATTTATTTCTATTTCAATTTTCAAAAGAAAAATGTAATAGCTTTATTTAACAATAGCAACACTGATTTGAGCCAATTATGTGGTAATTTAGGAGTTGTTGCATAGTAATTTTCTCCAGATATTATTTCTAAAAGTTGTGGTTTTAAATGTTTTGAGAATGTTTTTCTTTGATAATCAGAACGTTCTACTAATGGTACTACAGGTTGTTCCTTTGTAACTTTAAAAGACATTTTTCTTTTTAGCTGGGTTGCATTGTTTGTTTCTTAGTGTCACTTACTAATTTTAATTGACCTACTAAAAGAGAGTAGCACTACAAATGCAAGAGCATGTCTCTCTGAATCCTGCTCATGATTCCTCCCCTTTTTCACTTGGAATTGTAAATTACATTCATATAATAAGGCACCAGGGGTGACATGTGGATGTTTCTACAGTGGCTTTGACATTTATGTGTATGACCGCTCATTTCATGTATTTAACAATACAGCACGGTTCTTGCTTTGTTTAAAGAAGTGGCCATTGGATCCCAGCAGGAATCAATGATATTTGCAGAGCTGAGATGTTTTGATCTCTCTCTGAAAGATGAACGTTTTGGTAACTAATCCCTAATCACAGCTTAAAATGTGCTGTTTTGTAACTACTGCTCAGGAGCAAATCCGGCCTCCAAGAATTGCACAAGGAGGGGAGTGTGGACTTACAGACTCCCGGATATCAAAGTGCTGTCATTAATACGACAGGAATTTTGCAGTAGGGTTTAACACCAACATCAGTCATATGCGGAGAACAACCTTCATTTGTGGTGATAAACCTGTCAGCCGTTTCTCCACAAGACAGAAACTGATTTAATTAGCTGATTTGGAGTGTATTAACTGGTTTGAGTTAAAGCTAAACTAGCAGGCAATCATCTTTCCACAATATAAATAATTTCGTTTTTCGACGTTGACTCAATTTTTGATTAGGGGTGTGCTATTATTGTCAAAGAAAGAATATAGCTCTGTATCTGAATGACTATGACTTATGACTTTCCACTTAACTCTGTGTAAAAAAGCATAATACTGAAGCGAGCACATGTATTAGGTAATCTGTACATACACTCGCTCTCTAAGGCTGCTCTGATGTCTTTTAGCATAGTAACGCACTCAAGAACAATTTTAAAGCATGGGGAGGAGAAAGACTTAAAATAGCCTTAAATGGTCATTGAAGACAGAAATAAAAATGTGTAGTGAGCAGCCCACATCCTGAAGGCCACTCTTCCCTCTCTAAATTATAGGTGTTAGGTGCACATTTAGAAAGTGCAGATGGGCCAGGCAGTGGCTGAGCTTTTCTAATGCAGTCACACACCAGCAAACAAGCATTAGTGTGGCAGCCCTTCCATCTCTTTCTGCTCTCCACCGCAGTGCAAACTCATTTCAGACATGTTACCGAATTACACCTTGTTGCAGTTTTGCTGCTTTTGTATGAATATCATTGCTCAGGTTCCTTTGAACTTCTCCAGACTCCTCGATCTTGACGTGGTGGAGTGAAAAAGAAGGCAGCCTGTTGAACCACCACACATCCGTCATGCTCAGTCTTGGCTAAATGCTTGCCCAGGCCAAGTCGTGAAGAGAGTTCAAGTGAACATGATGGATGTGCGGTGGTTGCACAATAGAAGACTTGAACTAAATGGTTACCGTCAGACCCAGACAGAACTCAAAAGTTGAAACTTTCAGTGGGTATTAATTGATTTCAAAGGGGCAGTTCACGCCAAAATGAAAATTCTGTCATTCTGTTTTTTTTGTTGTTTTTTTTAATAAACAGTTGTGGTACTGTTTTGAGTCACTACTGGGTTTGTAAAATCTGTTCCTAAAGCAAAACCAATTAAAAACCACTGTAATGCACAATGCTTTCTCTGTTTGTGTTTGTTAGATCAGTGGAATGTGTCTTGCAATTCTTAGAGCCACGTCTTATGTTTGAAAATGTGGAACACGCACACAAAAAGTCACATCCCGGGAGTAGCATACAGTGATTCGTATGTCCGCCGGCATCATTTAGCATTTAGGCAGGAGGAAGCTAATTATCCACTCCCTACTATCGCTGCAAATGTCTCCAACCTAACTGGGTATTCTCAGAATGTCTTTGTATTTTGTGTTGGAGGACCTGACCCTGAATCAGCAAGAAGGAGCTTCTTCCTTTGGGTTTCTGACCTCAGGTCATGTTTAATGAAAGACTCCCTGATTACACTGCCTGAGATTGGGCTGCTGTTATCAAGAAACCAAGCGTCCATCAGGCTATTGGCATTTTTAGGCAGCTTGTCTATTGAATTGCTCGATGTATCTGTGAAAGTGGAGTGTCTTTGATTTTCTGTCTCTATTTCTCTGTTGTGATAATCATGCATTTGTCCTACCCTGTTATTTTGTCCACTTTTCATTTCGCCAGGTGCATCACAACAGTGAAAGGAGATGCAATCAATTTTTTACCACCCCATAGCTAATCTGTATGTGTGTCTACTTTGTTCTCCAGTGTTTTATGTGTAATTCTGTTGTCTATCTGTCATATACGTGTGCAGGTTTTGAGTTACTGTATCAGCCGGAGGTGGTCCGACTCTACCTGTCCCTGCTTACAGAAAGCCAGAACTATAACACGCTAGAAGCAGCAGCCGGGGCTCTGCAGAACCTCAGCGCTGGACAGTGGACAGTAAGTGTCTTCTCAGAACTTTCCTGCACATAACAAATTTGGAAGCATCAGGAATTGGAAACTGATTCTTATTTAGATCCGTTTAAACAAACAAGCCCAGATCAGAATTATATTCATGATTATTTGTTTCCATTAGAGATTCAGGATAGTGTATTCTGTTCTTCTGCTTATGCAAATGGACATCAAAATATATAAATAAAACATACAGTAATTAGAGCCGTAGTCAAGATGGCATCACTCGGCTTGTTTTCGGTCAGCTGTCCATGTGAATTTAGTTTATTTATTTATTGTGATTTTATTGACTTTTTGTGGTATACACTACCATTCAAAAGATTATTTTTTTCTTTTATGTTTTTGAACAAGAAACCTCTTATACTCACCAAGGCTGCACTAATATAAAAGGCAGTAATATGAAATAGTTAAATATTTCTTTTGTTTATTTTTTTCTATTTAAAATAACTTTAATATATTTTAAAATGTAATTTACATATGATCCTTCAGAAATCATTTGAATATGCTGATTTAGTGCTCAAGAATAATGTATTATTTTTTATTTTCGCATTTTATATTATTTTTGTGGAAACTGTAATACATTTTTGAAACAATGTGAAAGACTTTACTGTCACTTTTCATCAGTTTAATCCATTCTTGTTGAATAAAAGTATGAATTTCTTTAAAAAAAAATTTTACTGGCCCAAATCTTTTTCATGCTATTGTACATTAAATGAAGAATTGATTTCAATGTATGTCTGATTTATTACTGTCCTGCTGAAATCTTAAAAAAGGTCTAATTTTCTCTGTTGACAACAGTCCTGTAAAGGTAGATTAAGCAATAATAATTGCTCTCCAAGCACTGGCTATTCATTCTCTCAAAATGACTAAAGAATGAGTTCAAAGCTACAGAAATTAAGTTGAAACTTGCATCCCCAACTACCAATGACATCACTTTAATGACAAAAGATGAATCAATGGTTATGTGAACTAACATAAGACTATTTCAAACAAAGACAGCCCATTCAACCACCACACCACCGAACTCTGATTGGTCTGCTAGACTAGAGTACATTATGCAAATCCATAAAGCTTAATTTGTAATGTTTTGTTTTTGTCTGCTTGCAGTGCTCCTTGAACACATTCCTAGTCAATACTTAATTACGAGTATGACATGTCTGTGCCACAGTATCGTGTGGGGCTTTCTTCTCTCTTGAGGCAGAAGTGGAAAGTGGAAATGCCACTAATAAACACATCTCCCTATACACCTATTGCAAGAGTAAATCCCATTAAACTGCACTGCCCTGACCATGCTTCTTTCTCCATGTCGAACCTGAAGTGCAGTCATGCATAAGCTCACAGCTTCTCTGTGTGGTTACACCATTTCAGACCTGCCTCATCTCTATGCCTGGTGACACACACGTGCTTGTGAACCCAGAGTCCCCAGCACATCACAAACCCCTGCTGTAGGGAGACGGGCATGTCACGCATGTGGTCTATAAGAGGATTTGAGAACTTTTATTTATTAATTTATTCCCTTTCCTACTTTTTTTGGCAAATGCATTTCTAGGCTCACTACCATCTCCTAGTGGCCATAGTGTGGCATTGCAATAACTTAATTACTGTCTCAGGGGCACTGGCTGAGGAATAGAGATGTCTTGTGTCACATAAAGGTTTTGTGATTCATGGGGTTGGAGCGACAAATGCACACAAGTCTAACGGGGATAAATGGCTATTTACTGGATTGCAATTTCCCAGAATAGAGGGGCTTTTTCTCACGCACATACTCAGGCATATTGCTGTTCTGGAAGATTTCAGAGCTGCATATCTGGCTGAGCATAAGTTGACCTGACTTAATGAAATGAATGCAGTTGAAAAATGTCAGAATTACTGGCTTAGTACAGTCTGTTCCTCTCATTTCTGCAGTGGTCGAACTATATCCGGGCGACAGTGCGTAAGGAGAAAGGGCTGCCAATCCTCGTCGAGCTCTTGCGCTCGGACTCGGACAAGGTGGTGCGAGCTGTGGCCATCGCTCTGAGGAACCTGTCCATCGACCACCGCAACAAAGACCTGATAGGCAAGAGCAGTATTTATGGATCATTAGTACCCATAATGTTGAACACATATTTCCATAATACTTATATGAAGGTGCACTCAGATTTTTTCCCTTATAAGTTTTGCACAAAAAATCTGGAGTCAGTAAGATTTTGTAATCTTTTATGAAAGAAAGGCTGCATTTTTTGTATTATTAAACATACAGTAAAAACAGTATTATTGTGAAATATTTTAACAACTTAAAATAATTGTTTTCCATTTTAATACACTTTCAAATAGTTCATTGGACATTATAAAATTTGGTAGATTTTTTTTAACTTCATGTTTTTTTATTTATTTGATTTTTACCCACAATATTAAATGTTAATGAACTTAAAGTTCACCCAAAAATGAAAATTCTGTCATTAATTACTTGCATTATGCAGGATCGGAAATCTCGGATTACATCAAAAATATTTTAATTTGTGTTCCGAAGATGAACGAATGTCTTATGGGTTTGGAACAGCATGAGCTTGAGTATTTTGGGGTGAAATATCTCTTTAATATGTAAATGAATTATACACATAAATCTATGTTTGTTGTTTGGCACAATTGTATTCTGCTTCAGGGTGGCTGCAGCTTGCTTTACGTTCTTTCAGAGCTGAATCTTTCATCCTTTTATATTATCATCCTCAGGGAGTTACGCAATGAGGGACTTGGTCAGCAACTTGCCCAGCGGACAGCAGAGGCCAGCCAAGAACCTGGATGAGGACACAGTGGTGGCCATCCTCAACACCATCCATGAAATCATCACCGACAGCTCTGAGAACGCCCGCTCTCTCATTACTGCTCAAGCAATCGACAAACTAGTTGCCATCAACAAGACCAGGTAAGAAGGGAACAGAGAGCGGACCAAGATCATGCTAGTGGCACAATATATGGTCTTCTCTTTGATCAGAATTAAGCTATATTCGCATTGCAAGTTTCTGATTTCTGCTCAAATCAGATGTTTTAAGAGACTAGAATATTAAATCAAAAAAGCTTTTACATTTTAAAGGTATAGTTCACCCAAAAATTAAAATTCTGTCATTAATTACTCATCCTCATGTTGTTCCAAACCCATAAGACCTCTTCCGAACATAAATTAAGATATTTTTGATGAAATCTGAGTGCTTTCAGACCCTGCATAGACAGCAATGCAACTACCACATTCAAGGCACAGAAAGGCTGTAAGGACATTGTTAAAATAGTCCATGTGACATCAGTGGTTCAGCCATAATGTTATGAAGCTACGAGAATACATTTTGAGGACTTCATTTCAACAATTCAGCGGTCAGGAGAGTACCACAATGCTATTTTATGGACTATTTTAACCATGTCCTTGCTACCTTTCTGGGCCTTGAACATAGTAGTTGCGTTGCTGTCTATGGAGGATCAGAAAGTTATTGGATTTCATCAAAAGTATCTTGTTTTCCAAAGATGAGCAAAAGTCGTACAGGTTTGGAATGTCATGAGGGTGAGTAATTAATGACATAATTTTCATTTTGGATGAACTATCCCTTTAAACTTTATTTTCATCTATCTATGTTATAATTGGTTTATAAATCAAGCCAACTATCTACAGTACTTTCACTTCAACCAGTTATGATTTCTTAAGGCTCGGTTAGTTCTGTATGTATACAACAACGTTTTTTTGATCTGTGTAAACATCTTATGTTAGTTCGGGTCCTCCTCAACTCGCAGAGAAAAACAGCAACAAGAGTTGCTGCTCTTTGAAGTGTCTTATTTTTATCAGCACACATGTCATCTTTAATATATGCATGTGAAAAACTGAATATTAAATGGTGTAGTGCTGTAGATACCAAAAGCAGCAGAGACCTCCGGAGAGTGAGCCATATTTTAAACAAACCTCCTCCAACCTTTCTACGTGTGACCTCGTTTAAATCTTCACATCATTTATATCATTTCGGCTTGAGCATGATTTTACCCAAAAACTAAATATTGATTGTGAGAGATTAACTTTTTAAAGAGTACATGCTAGACTGGAGAGTGGCTACACGGCCTCTCTCTATCCCTCTCTGAGTCTGGAGATGCGACTTTGAAGTTGTAGGATCCTGGTAATTAAGTGAGGATCACAGGAAAAGCTAATGAAGTGAAAAGAGAGAAATCTGTGGCCACAGGGGTTGGAGATTGGAGCCATAGTGACTCTGCGATGCTGGGAGGGGAATAGATGACTTTGAATTTGAGAGTTATTCCACTGAGCTCTAGTTTCCAACTCTCTTTCCCTCCATGTTTATGCATTGCAGCCAGTCAGCAAGGGAGACCAAAGCTGCTTTCCATGTACTACAGACGGTTTGGAGCTATAAGGAGCTGAGAAACACCCTGACCAAGGATGGCTGGAATAAAACACACTTCCAGGTAGAGCGAAGCATAAACACACACAAGCACTCTGATTTCTCAGTTATTCTTATACCAAATTCTAAAGTGGAGAAGGGTAAATCTCGTGAAGAAATGTCCGGGTCACACTTCACTTCAAAATGTAAAGAAATGAATAAGAAAATATTTGCATAGCGAAAATGGAACATTAATAGAGTGTTATTTTCGTGAAAATCTAGCAGAATTATCCTCCCAAAATTCTTATTTAAAAAAAAACTCCTTCTCATTAATGTAATACATTCCTGTCTGGACACCAGGGGGCGTAGTTTGTGGGGGGATAGGGGGATATAACCCCCCCAATAACCAAAACTAGCAAGTACAACACCCCCAATATTTATACCATGGTTTATGGAAACCTCAAATCAGGCTATTAATTAATTATTTGAATCGTGCGTTTATAAGTGCCAACTTTACTTACGAACCGAACGGAGCAGTTTAAGAACACAATATGACGCAGTTCATGAGCGGCGCGCGAATCACCGAATACTCTGCCCGCGTTCACCAGCACGCTCGAGAAGTGTGATAAGATTTGCGCAAGCCATTCCTATCACGAAGCTGATGCTCAAATATGTGATCTATTTGAATTATTTAGAGAAACAGCCACTTTAAAATGCTATGGAGAAAGTCGAACAGTAGCTAAAACAGGCAAATAAACTAAAAAGACTGATGAAAAGAGGAGAAAACAGACTTGAGCCAGCACTAACATATATTAAAATCTTTTTAAACTACTCATGACCACCTTTACTAGAATTTATCACGTTTTATTGTAGGCTTATTTATTGTGTAAAACTTAGTCTAACTTGTAGAATTTATATTAGATAATCTTTTAAGGGAATAGATTTTTCCCTATAGATTATTATTACAACTGTGGCATGTTGTAGCTATTGGTTCTAAATAGGGCTGTCAACGTTAACGCGTTAACGCATGCGATTAATTTTACAATCCTTAACGTGTTAAAATAATTTAACGCAATTAACGCAAAATTACTGAAGCACAATTTCTATTCTAACCCTTTAACCCAATTTTGCTTCTCTGCATGCGATCAGATCATTTTAAGCCTCTAAACTCCGGGAAAGTTTTCAGTCCAATGATCCAGTAAGCGAATGCATTCAAACAATCCATCCAAAACAGCGCTAATATAAAGGAAATCAGGCTGATTACATCAGAGATTGCAGAGAGAACAGAGACTCGCATTGCGTTTTCAGTGAATTATTCATTCCAGTGTGTTTGGCTTTTAAACACGAGCTCTGTCATATTCTGTGATTGTCTCTGAAGAGCGC